ATATTGTTAATTTACATTTCTGTAATATCTCTGCAATGTTACATTGCAATCTGCAACATTGCAGCAATATTGCTTCAATCTTCCGTGCTGTATGGGTTTATACATGCTCATATGCACTTGTAAGGGGTGAAACACAATAATCGTTATTTTTATTGAATATATCTAAATCATATTTATCATTTCTTAGTGAAACGTTCCTTTCATTATTCAATCTAACGAAATAGCTTTTCTTTACATCACATCTAAACTATATAAATATATATATAATATATGATTAATTACATCGTACGTATTTTTTGTGATTATTCATATCGGATCATCTAAAAAGTATCCGCGGTTTTTAGATGACCCAATATTATATCCAAATTTCAAATAATATTCTAGTAATAATATTTTATTATATAAATCGTAATACAAGTATTATATATTAATACTGTATTATTATAATATTCCTGCACTTATTATCTCGGATTATACTAGATTCTATTATATTATGATAACTTACGTCTCTCTTACAATATTATAATACATTGTCTTTTCGATATTTATTCAGTTTTGTTACAAATATACACATACTATATACATATACTTTATTGTTCTTGGTAACCTACTATCCTTGATAATCTATTCTTTTATTTAGTACTTTATATTAAATAATAATATTAATAGATCTTGATTTTAAAACATTTAGATATTTCAGAATTTTCTTGAATTATATTACGTCTACACGTTACTGCGTTATATTTACTATTCCAATTATATCAGATTGAATAGATGGAAATGAATTATCTTATTATATTCATTTAATATATCAGCTGAATCTTTTTATAATGCTCAATCATAGTCCATGTTAACTAACCACTATTAATCATAGCCAATGTTAACTAACCACTATTAAATAAATATTGGGTCATCTCAAAAGATCCGCGATTTTTTGTCACTAGATGTGTGTTGATGGTCATACATCTAGTGACAAAGTACCGGATACTTTTTAGATGACTCAATATTTAATACATATATTTATACATATTTTCACACATACTGTCATTTCATGTTCCGTCATTATTATTAGACTTATTTAATAATATATTTAATAATATTTTATAATAATATTTATAATAATATTTTATAATAATATTTTATAATAATTATTTCACCTTACAGCTACTTTCATTTACTTTAATAAGTTGTATCGAAAGCGATACCCCTTTTTCCCTTAATTATTTTCTCGATCAGTGTCATCTATCATTTCGATAAATTAAAAGTATATTGCCACTTTGTCAACCAATTTAACGTTACTTTAATTTTCATGTTTCATGACTATTACGTCAACATCGAATCAACATTAACTAAATTACCTAAGCTTCAATTATTATCGAGAAGAGGCTCCGTAAGTTTCCGTTCGGCTTACGGATTCATTTTCGTCATCTCTAACTAAATATAACAGTTGTAATTTTAATTTGAATTTGCTGGGATGTCGCTTGTTCGTGCTATCTCATCCTAACTCGGCATCTTCACCCGGGACATAACAATAGCATAACGCCGCCTCCATATGAAAAAGATTCTAATAGCTCTTGCACACCAGCGCGATACGCGACATTCGATACGCGATATCCAAGTTGCCTTCAGTGCATCTATGTATTATTTTATCCTTGTTATTTACCAAATGTTAAAGGATAAATAATATTGTACATGGTCCGGATAAATTTCCGAATACAATCCAATAATCATATTGGGTCATCTAAAAAGTATCCGCGGTACTTTGTCACTAGATATATGACCATCAACACACATCTAGCGATAAAAAACCGCGAATACTTTTTAGATGACTCAATACAATTTTTCCAAGTATCGCGACGTCGCAGCAAAAGTTGAGCAAAGTTGAACATTTCTCGTACGAGACAAGCGAATGGGTCGATCTGCGCATGGCTACACAAAAAGCAAAATTAATTGAAAAATATGATTTTGGGATCAATCAAGGATGGAAAGTGAAAAGTGAAAAATTTCTCCATTAATTTCAATGGTAAAAATTTTTACTTTTCCTAGGGATAAAGTTTCATGATTGATACCCTTATACATACTCTAGTACATACACCTTGATATACAATATGTAACAAAATATAATTAGAGTGAAATCACATAGTGTGGAAAAGGACTGCGGAATAGAGAATGCGTCATTCAAATAACCAATTAGCGCTATTCGGAATAACGCTGAATAACGCTGAATGGTTGTTTCTATGACGCATTTTTTATTTCGCAGTCATTTTCCGCATCATGTGATTTCATTTTTACAACCTCTACTAGAAAAATTATATATATGCTTATTGAACTATGTTCGGAAATTTATCCGGGTGCACCCATGTATTATTTATCCTCGTTTAATATTCGGTGAACAACAAGGATAAAATGATACATAGATGCATTTGAGTGAAAACAATCTGGATGTCGCGCATCGCGCAAGAGTCATAAATGATATGGACTGTGGTCAAAGTCTCGCTTTGAAGCATTTGATGGACCAATTAGAAGAAAGAATTTTACAAATTGATCAATTAAAAATCGTTTCGAAGCATTTACAACATCGCGTTGACCATATAAGTACATAGTATGGACACTAAACTTTGTTTTTTGTAGTCTTCAATTTTTAATGCGCATGCGTCAGTTTCCAACCAAGAATATGGCTGCCTTCAGTTGAAATTGCAGGTTAGATTAGGTTAACTAGATCTTTTTCCCATAAAATATAATTAATCAAATTAAGTTTTACTTAAAAAATTTAATCAAATTTTTTTCGAAGACGCTATATTGTGTAGACTGTTATATTTGTATACAATAAAGTATTTCTCGTAATAAAAATAATATGCATTTGTGTACATATATTATTAAATTAAAATTTCACATTTAATTACAATTTTCATGCAATATATTATATTTTTATACTTAATTATTTAATTACTTAATTATTTAATTATTTAATTTTGATATAGTATTTAATCAATTATTATTTATAATTTATTTATTACTGTTTAATATTATTATTGTTATCAATGTGAATATTGGCACTTACAACGATCTTAGCACGCTAACGTGCTATAATTTACATTACTATAGAATTTTAGAGATAAAAGCGGGTTCTGAATACGAGCTATTATCTTTATATAATGATTCGTTAACATTATATTATATAATTATGATTTAAAAATATACTCGCTATAAATAATTTTCTTAATACGATCGAATTATGTCTTTTTTTTAGAAAAATCATTCTGTAACTTTATAAAAACTTAAATTTATAAACGCCTTTCCAATCTAGAACATGGCGACGAGTCATGTGACCCGGGACCCACTACATCAATGATGCCGACGCTTAGTGTCCATACTATATATATTTATACTGTGATGATGGTCGATGAGCGCGTCGTCGCGCGTAGAATCCGCCTTAAGGAAAAACTCCCCTTCTTGTTGCGCAAGAGAGGAGTTAGAGTGGAGGCGTGGGACGCCTAAGAAAATTATCCAATCACATTTTACGTGCGATTTTATAAGAGAAATGCAATTAGATAATTTTCTGTATGCATATGTTTATGCAGCTATGCAAGTTTGTATGGATATACCATGAATCAAAATGAGGTAAATCTACTGCTAAAACAGTAGAATTGACAGCACTGATCCTGGCATAAAGTTTCTCTAGTAAGACAGGGAGCACAGACTCTTGCATAACGCATAAAACATGACGCATAAGAAAATTAACCAATTAAAGTCTTTTATTTTATGGAAAGTGTTACGTCCTGAGGTCCGACCGGCGGTAATCAATACCTGGACAAACCTAGGACTAATAGTGGATGCAAACTGTACTTACCATACGATGATTGTTTGCGGATCTTTTCAGCGGCTCCGCGGTGTTACGATCCGTGGTACCCTACGTGCGGGCTGGTTGGGATCTTGGTTGGTCGAGTCCGTCGTGGGTGAGAGGGATTGGTCCAATGCTGGCTGCCGTTCACTCGCGCGTCCACTTGGTGAGTTTAAGTGAGGAGCAATTTCATGTGATGTATGCCGATTACGTAGGGAAGGTTTCGTTGAGAAAAAGGTCACACTCGCGTATTTATCTTTGCTCAGAAAACAACTTATATATTTTACTGTTATTAAGTTGCACTAAATACATGACTAAATTTATACTACGGTTAGTATCTAACGTGATTAAAATTGACAAGGTCGAATAGAGTTTTACTTATATAATTAGATGAAGTTGCTTATACGAATAGAAATGGAAGATTGGATATAGATTCAAGTTCGAATTAGGAATTTGAGTTAGAGATGGTGTCGGTCCGAACTTTTGTCACGAGAGAGTAAAAAAAGGGAACCCAGTTGAGGACTTAATCTTAACTTAACTACTACTCGGTTATCCCGAGGGCTTTTCCGAAGGATCCCCTCCCACGCTGGTGGGGCGCTAGTGGTGGGGAAGGCGTCAGGAGCGGTCTAGGCGGTTTTTGTGCCCTGTCGGTTTATTAAGATAAAGAAAGTTGTGATTCGCCTGGGGATATTTCTGGACAAGTTTTATATGTACCGTGGACGTGACAAAAGGAAGGAAATAAAGGACTTTGATTGGTTTATTTATGTTATTTTTTTATGTTTCCTGCAAAACAAAAAAAGTATATTTTAATTATAAATATTGGGTCATCTAAAAAGTATCCGCGGTTTTTTGACCATCAACACCATCTAGTGACAAAAAACCGCGGATACTTTTTAGATGACCTAATATAAATTCTGTTCTTCCTACTATTAAGATTATTGAACGTTGTATTATTTTTTTATAATAAGTATTTGAATTACTTATTTTATCCAGATTGGAATATTTTTTTCTGTTACTTTTTACAAAATTTGTAAAATGAAAAATAAAGAAAAATTATAATTATAATTACAATATTTTCTTCTCAGCTATTTTCTAATCAGTTTTAAATTTCTCGAAATTCCTTGAAAAAAAGACTACCGGTTTGAGTTTGAAATCTACTGCTTTTTTGGCGTACCATCTACCGTCCAATCTTTCAACATGCTAAGGACTGGCAGGCCAAGTGCTGCCAACTAGGATGAGAGGGAGCGATGGAGGGAGCATCGACGGAGCGTCGAGGAAGCATCGAGGAAGCGGGTGAAAACAAGCGATGCTCAAGCTGAACGAAGGCTCGTGTCGCGTGCCTTTGTTGGTTGCCGCTGTTTCGCGAGAGCGAGAGAGGGAAGCGCGTGAGATCGATTCGTTCCTATCTCAGCTTTTCTTCCAAGAGATAGAGATCCTCCTAAGTCTTACGCGTTAGTCGCGTAACAGAACGTGGTTCTCCTTGGCGTCTCTTGCCGCCTGTCACTCCCAATCCTAATAATAATCGCGCCGGCGCGATTATTCGAGCAACGACGATGTAGACATCCTCGACCGCCGCTTGCGGAGATGTCGACTTCGGCACGGCCACTCGCGAATATCATCGTCGACGACCGCAAACGTACGGAATCTTATCTTTCTTAGGAGATGTCTTGCAGCGATGGCGCGCGACCGACCCGTAAGTTCGGCACAAAGTCGCCGAAGAAGCTGTGCGTGACCAAGAGCGAGAACGGCGACAAAACCACGACGACCATCAGCTGTGTCGGCCACCGTCACAATCATCACTATCATCACGGGCATCATCGCTTCCTAGACGGCTCCTCGCAGCCCTCGGTACACAAGCGCAATCTCTACATTGTCTCCTTTCCCCTGATACTGCTGTTCAATGTGCTGCGCACTCTGCTGTATCAATTGTTTGTGGTGTTCAAGTACCTGTACACCTCTACGTCTCAGCTGATACAGCGCAGACAGACGTCCAAACAAGCCTGTCAATTGGAGATTGTCGTGGGACAAAAGCCAACTGATGGGCGTTTGATCAATGGTAATCGGATAGAAGGCGAGGCCATGTCGCAAGTGCCTAGACGTCCTATCGGGCCAGGACCCGGGGATCCATTGCTAGCTAAGCAAAAGCATCATCATCGCAGAGCGTTTGAATTTATTAGCAAAGCACTCAAGATCGACGAGGATAATGAGGGTACTTACATTGGGACAAGTTATTTTATATATGTGTATAAATTAAAAATTTATTTAAAGGTCTCCTTGCTAATAGAATTTATATATAGCTTTTGTATGGTACTTTGATAATTAATCTTGCTCTCTTACTTACTCATTGGGACAGGACAAAAGGAAATGGCGATAGAATTGTACAAAAAGGGAATTGGAGAATTGGAGAAAGGAATAGCCGTAGAATGCACTGGTGGACACGGCGAAGTATGGGAGCATGCGCAAAGACTTCACGACAAGATGTGTACAAATCTGGCAATGGCAAAAGATAGGCTTGATTTCCTTGGTTAGTACACTCGTTCTGTTGTAGTACTTCGTTTTGCCGCACATTGCCGCGTCCAACTTAAAGCTATTCCAAGCTTGTTTACCTATGGTACAATGACAATTTTGTTTCTTGCGAATAATAATAATAATTATTATTATTATTGATATGCCCAGCAAACGAGAATGGATTGAAATGGATTCAGATTTTCAGAAATATTGATTCACGAATGTTAAAATGAATGCTTTTCAATCCTGAATTTTTATTCGTTTATAGGAATTATATGGAGCATATCTCTATGCCTTTCAATCTAGAAATTATATTAGCTTGTTCTGTGCATTGTGAATACTGTTCAATTTAAAATTTTGAATAGGAAATGCAGTTTTTCAATCCAATTGCGTCCAATTGAATCCAAAAAAAAGTATTCGCTATTTAAAATACGCATTCGGATAGAAAAAAATTTCAATCCATTTTAATCCATTCTCGTTTGCTGGGTATACATCCACTTTATTCGGCAACAGTGTCCACAGGTAAACCCCCAGCAAACGAGAATGGATTAAAATGGATTGAAATTTTTTTCTATCCGAATGCGTATTTTAAATAGCGAGTACTTTTTTTGGATTTAATTGGATTCATTTGGATGCAATTGGATTGAAAAGCTGCATTTCCTATTCAAAATTTTAAATTGAACAGTATTTACAATGTGTTGTGTGTGTGCACAGAAAAAACTAATATTATTTTTAGGTTGAAAGGCATAGAGATATGCTTCACGCAATTCCTGTAAATGAATAAAAATGCATTCAGGATTGAAAAGCATTTATTTTAACATTCGTGATCAATCAATCAATATTTCTGAAAATCTGAATCCATTTCAATTCATTTCAATCCATTCTCGTTTGCTGGGCCTTTGGCAATGGCAAGAGAAAGAATTTCAATGTGTACTTAGCATGCTCGTGTGCAATTTACTTTAATTTTTTTCGAAAAATACGCACGTACGTGCGTGCATGCACGCGCACGCGTGTACGTATGTGTGTGTGTGTATGTACGCATGCCCGCGTATAATTATAATTTCCTACATTATTTACCTTGAGCACAAGTCAATCTTTATTTTGCATTTTTTTGCGTTTCTATTCAGAGAAATGTAAATCAAAGAAAAATTGGCGCGAATCTGTGTCGATAGACAAAGCACTAAGAGCAAAAAATATTAAAAGCCCAATCTCATTAAATCTTACGTGACAGCATTTTGATAACAATCGAAACGCGTGCTTTTTGCTCCGAGACATTTAGCGATATCGATTAAATTTTGTTACGTATTACATACTTGCGCGATACGACTGAAGGATTAGCCTGATTTTCTTTTTTAGCTGTCAATAGCCTTACTGCAGCATGGCAGAGAATGTTTTTTTCCTTTTTGTAGTGAGTGTGCGTGAGCTGAGAAAGCTGGGTATCAACAATAATATCAACAATCGCGCACCTGGAAATAAAACGGACGGCGAACATCCGGGAAAGCATCTGAGGGCTCGCCGCAACACGCACACTTTTCAAAACGCTCGAACTTCACCCAACATTAATCACAATAAGAACACAAACAATATACACACGACAATTAACGCTGGACAGACTATGTGTACCCAGATTCCCAAGTTAAGGCCACGTTCACCAAAAAACTGTTTCGCTCATACTATTGAAGGTATTGTTTGCCTGAGATTCTGAGCCTGAATGCGAAAGAAAGTCGAATGCAAGTAAATAACACAGTAATGCTATCTAGTCGTTGTTCATTTGGAAGAGATACTTGTTTTGTTATAGCTGTATACACATCTCTCGTTTCACATGTACGTACAAGAATGAGATAGAGTAGCTGAATGTGGGCTTGCCTTAATTGCTTCTTTGTGTTTTTTTTTAACGTAGATTTTTAAATACTGCTGCATTTCACTTATTATGTACGATAAAGTTTTTCGTAAAGCGCCTTACAAATTAATTTAAAACATTTATACGTTATTTATCAAATACACATCAAGACAGATTAGACGATGAAGGGTACAACACATGTACACTATCATGTTATATCCACATATGCTTCACACACATACACACACACACACACATATACATTCACAATCACGTATTGAAAAATGATGTATAATTTGTTCATAGATTTAATATTTATGCGATTTAGTGATAGCTAAAGATAATGTATGACGAGGCAATGTATCTTTATTTCTCTTCAAACTTTTCAAATCGAAACAAAAGTTTAAAAAAAATCGATATATTTTTTAATACATACAGTAAAATTACAGAATTAAAGAAAGGATACTTGTTTGCTAATTAATTTTTATTATACCTGTCGCATGAATATCGCAAACGTAACTTATTTTGTTTCATTGAATTTTACATTGCATCTTATTAAATTATAATTCTGCTTTCGACTGAAGCGAGACACCACACGATACACGTAGTGTAATTGTAACTTTATTAGAGGATGCAAATAGTAGGAAATATTTTTTATTTGAATGCACATAAAAATCCTAACATAAAATTAATTAGTTTCAACAACTTAATTATGTTATATTAGTGAGATAATATATCGCTGTTGCGATAAACATTTTAGTACACTCCTACTATTTATTACTAAATCGAACGATACACATAATAATATATTGAAAATAAATCCTGGCTGTGAAAATATTTTTTTCTTATTTTTACCTTTGCGATAGACCCTCTTATCCATTAGACTGATACGCAGGAGCTGCCTTTAATCATATCAACAACTCTAGTAGCGATTCTTTTACATCATTAAACTGCATTAAATTGTAAAAATTATCATTTTTAAGATTTATTTCTAAGTACAGGCATTGTTTCAGCATCTGGTAGGAAACTATCGGTCCCTGGTAAACGAATAATAGGAACACCCCTAAGTAAGAGCCAGACATTGCCTCGAAGTATGGGTAGATCGATGCCTATTCAACCTTGCCACAGAACCATGCCTATCAAACCGTCCTCCACACCACCCTCTGTAAAAAGACAACTATCTGTACCGGGCAACGGTTCACCTATAAGACGTCCAGGAACACCGACCACTTCGAACAGTAACAGGAGCACGCCAACGAGAAAAGTACCCATTTTAAAAGGCGTAGATCCAAAACTCGCGCAAGTGATTCTCGATGAGATCTTGGAAGGAGGAGCACCAGTGCAATGGGAAGACATTGCTGGCCAAGAGGTATGTCACGAATTATCGTCATCACTATTGTTGCTTGATGCAGATTATATTGCGAGAGAACATTGTCATCGATTCCTAATTGTCTTGTTAAATAGATAGATAGATAAATATTTATTTCTTGCCTTACGGCTTTGAAAGGAATTCTTATGTCGATTTGACATAGTTTTTTTTAACATATAAATACTTTTTCAAAAGATTTTATTTGCTTAAATTTATTTTTCGCTCTACACAAATAGCTCTAATTGAGTTATTCCTGTGCTATTTTTTTATCTCTATTATACATTTTGTCGCTAAATATTCCAAAATTTCAACTTTGCTATGGCACAGACTACAAATATTAAAAATTCAAGAAAAAGGAATCAGTGATAGGGATATTTTTTTTAATTTAACATTTTTCAAAAATATAATCACGTCGTTAAAAATACTTTCAACCATGAAACTTTTTAACAATAATATAATTTTTGTTTGAAACATTTTCTCGTATTTCCAATTATTTCCGAGATATTCGTTTAGAAACATAAAAACCGATTGTATTCAAGAGGATGCTATACCTCTAAAACTGTATATCAGCTGAAAAAATTTTTTTCGATTTAGCCATCTAATTTATGTAAAATTTCAAATTTTTTTATACCTGCCGAATTTTCCTCGTCTAAAAAAATATTTTCCAGCTACGTCTTACTTAGCTCCACTTTTGCAATTCTCCCTTGTTTTAATAAATATTTTCGTTCAACTTTGACTTTCAGACCGCAAAGCAGGCTTTACAAGAGATGGTAATCCTACCATCGCTGAGACCTGAGCTATTTACCGGTTTGCGAACACCCGCGAGAGGATTATTATTGTTCGGGCCACCGGGAAACGGAAAGACATTGTTGGCGCGCGCCGTTGCAACTCAATGCAACGCAACATTTTTTTCGATCTCTGCAGCTAGTCTCACGTCAAAATATGTTGGAGAAGGTGAAAAATTAGTGAGAGCTCTGTTTGCCATTGCTCGGGAATTTCAGCCCTCTGTTATTTTCATCGACGAAGTGGATTCATTATTGAGCGAGCGTAAAGATAACGAGCATGAAGCTTCGAGGTATGTCTATTCGTGTATTCTCCCTAGATAATCGCACACACACATTAAATAAATAAGGAAAGTACCGATCAACAGTCGGGGCTAAATTTTGATATCTAATTTTATAAATAAATTCTCTTTTTTTTTTTAATTATATAGAGTGCCCCATTTTAATCGATCACTTCAAATATTTCTTGAACAGTACATTTTAAAGAAAAATGTTTCAGACAAAAGTTTTGGGACTTTGAGGGGCACATAAGATACACATAAGATGCACTCCTCAATGAATTCTTCAAGAGATATTTAAGGTGATCGATTAAAATAGGACACTCTATATAAACTGCACGTCAGACTTAAAACAAAATCATATAAACTAAAGTTAAAATAATATCACAATTAAATTGATCATTTGATAATGATGCTACTAGCATCCTCAAATAAAATATTACCTCAGTCGAGTTTCAAATTTCGAACCTCCCAATTATTTGAGGCTGATCTTTCTCGGTGATAGAATTAGAAAAGTCATAGTTCCGGATAGATAGAAAATGAGAATTTTGGTAATATTTTTCCCAAATACAGCAGTCTAATTAACTTATTATTGCGTGAGTGCGTGCGTGCGTGCGTGTGTGTGTGCGCGCGCGCAGATAGCATGAACATAATGTTGACGAGAGAAACATGTATTTCAGGAGGCTAAAAACAGAATTCTTAGTCGAATTTGACGGTTTGCCATGCAATCCGGAAGAAAGAGTACTCGTTATGGCTGCTACAAATAGACCGCAGGAATTAGATGAGGCTGCATTAAGGCGATTCACAAAACGCGTGTATGTTACGTTACCTGATTCGCAAACGAGGATTGTGTTACTCCGAAGACTCTTGGCCAAACACAATGATCCATTAACGCTCGAAGAGTTGAATGAGATGGCAGTTTTGACGGAAGGATACTCGGGAAGCGATTTGACTGGACTAGCTAAAGACGCAGCACTTGGGCCTATTAGAGGTAATACTAAAAATTCCTTGTATTTGTTTTCAATTTTATATTAGTGATTTTATATGAGTGAAGATATGCAATTTGGCCACTCATTTTATATAGCACAATTACAATCCTACAAATGTATCCCATCATTTTAATGAATATATGCACGCGTACTTGTCTAGCATTAGAAATTAATTTTATATTTATATATCACACAAGTGTCAATTTTATTTAATTTATTCAATTATGTCAAGTCTAACAAAAATATGAAGAAGATTCCATCAAATTTATGTTGTGTCTTGAAAGTCTTGTGTATAGAAAAGATCTGTTTCTTGTGCAATTTCACTACATTATGTTTTATCACATTATTCTCAGAATTGAATCCAGATCAGGTGAAAGAATTGGATCTTAATTCCGTTCGTAATATCACAATGCAAGATTTCCGTGATTCTCTAAAGAGAATTCGTAGATCCGTTTCACCGGCAAGTCTAGCTGCCTATGAGAAATGGAACTTTGAATATGGAGATGTAAGTCTTTGATTTGAAATAAATCGCTCAGGCAAGAAGCTCCAGAAAAATTTACGTTTCAATCGAATTTAAATTGCAAAACGTGATTAGAGAAATATTTCAAATTATCGAAAAAAAACCATATAATACCGAATGTCGCCACAATAGTCAATTCTCATATTTTTATTCTATCTTGGAACAATATTGATGTGTTTACAAAAAAAGACGGTAAAAAGTTAAACAAGAATTTATCCTTTAAATCTCATAACGTGCTTTTGTCTTAGTGATGAAAAATCAATATATTTAAGGTCATTGTTACTTCACTCAAGTCGTATTTCACTTAACTTTACTAATTGTCTGATCTTTATTTATAATTTAACAATGACAGTAGAGCGATCTTTTACGATAAATAAAACTCATGTTCAGGGAATGATTGATTTAATATCAAGTGTCTTAAAAAAATATCGCATTGATTTTATGAAGTATAATACTCCATGTGTTCTACATGTTATATCCAGTGATCGAACATTATAATTTACGGTTCAATACGTAGCTTTAATGTTATCTTTAAGTTTAATATTAAAGAAACAGTATTTATTGTTTATGTTTATTTATATATGTATATGTTCAATTGTCCTTACGATTTACATAGTTCCTTTGTAATAGTTGATATTTGAAATCTATGATGAAATGCTATTTATTTTACAATAATTTGCAATTAATATTAGGATGCTGATTATCGCAACTAGCATGTAATACTTGCAATTAAAAGAAAATATGCATTTAAAAGAATACATGATTAAGCACAGAATCTGCAATTAGAGGGAATGTATCTTTTTAAACTTGTAAATATTTTCAATATTATTATTTATAAAATTGACTCGAGTAAGTTGAACACAATGGCATATTATAATCCGATTCATTATTGCAGTAGTAGAAAGACTATATTTGCAAATGGAACAGTGCACGTCCTATCAGATAATAAAAAATAAGGTCTATCAATATATATGCAATACGTATGAGAAGAGGATATTATATGTAATTGCGTAATTACTATATGGTAGAGAATATACACATACAAATATGCAAACAGGTATCTGTAAAATCGAGCAGAAATATTAAATTTCACTTTACACGCGTTAATTTTATATAAAATGCAAAAAAGTGTAGTATCTTCAAGCGAATGTTAAACTTGTTACGTTTGATATACTATTTCGAAGATATGTTTGTTATTTATTAATATACTAATGCGTGTTAAATTTGCGTTAGACTATGTACGATTCGTGATTCGAAGCAGTTTGAAATTCGTAATTTGTTATGTATAAGATAAGAATAGTGATATATTCGTCGAATTCACATTTGTCATTTACTATTCGTACAACAATTCGCCAAGGGAGAAATGTTTTTTTTTTTTATGAAATCAAGGGACGCGAATCATCACGAATCGTACATAATTTAACGCAAGCTTTAGAAATCACGCGGCCATCATGACGCACAGAACCACGTGTAAAGGTAAAGAAATATGATCTGGGAAAGGAGAATGTGACATTCTGTTTTAATATAAAATTCTATAAGAGACAACGAACTGAGAATCCAATATGTGCTGTATGAAATCCCAAGCATTTATATCTATAAGGAAATTATGTATAAGCTCGATAAACATTGCTATCGTATTCACAAAAAAAATGAAAATTTGCTAATATATGTGTATGCACATGTCACGATTAAAGTGTTAACTCAATAAATGTATACGTTGATTAGTAAGTATATGCATATATTAAAGTTAACATTTTGACTGTGATATGTACATACATATAGATGTGTATGCGTACAGACACAAAAAGTATGATATTTTTGTGACATTTATCTATTGCTTCCGATGCTCAAAAGTAAAATAATTATGCATGTATAATTAAACAAATTATATATTCAACACGAAACTATATCTTATAATACTCTGCAATGTGACACAAATTTATTGATCATTCCAGATCAAAAGCGATCATTCGTGATATAAAAATAGAATCTAACGTCCCTATAGTTTTGTAGTGTAAGACTTATCGTGTAAAGTAATAATATTAAAAACAGCAAATTATTTTCCAATGAGTTTTAAGCAAACAATGCTTCTTTGATACAGTGGAAGAATAGAAAATGTTATTTGCAGTCGAAATTAATAGTTGTTTAATACTGATCTCTCTCTCTCTATGTAGGAATAGAATACGATGCATTTGTTAAATAGATATTCCATAATAATAGATAAAATAAAAATATAATAATAACAGATAAAATGTAATAATTCCGACAGTTTATTCTGCGACGCGACGCATAAATATGGCATTTCGAGATTCGCACTGTTGTTTGTAATTATAAAAATCGTGTGATGCTGAAACAGCATTCAAGAGCTGTGATGTTACTGCGATGATAAACTTGATATTTTCGCGGAACTTTAATATGTACTTAATGCACAAGAATGCGATATACAAATATTCTCTTTAATCATGATTCTGGGTCTTTCTAGAAATTGTGATTTTATTCGTTTTTCTAGATGAGAGCGTATCTATGATGCCGCGATGAGTTCGATTTTTAAAAATTCTAATTAACATGAAGCAGCAACAGTATCGCTGTGAGTGGTGCTGACTCAAATTTTATCTCCAAATTACTTTGTGATATTAGTTTTTTATATTAATCTTTATGCACTGCCTATGTAGATTATAATATTTTATATATATTAGGTCTATTAGTTTGAAATTTATGATAATTTTGCAACAACAAACTGTTCGCATAAAGCTAGATCATTAAAAGACCCTGGCCTTCTATTGTGGAACACATGCTGAGCCTTGATTAAGTTATTTTGCTACTTTTATAACGTATAATGGTAAAAATTGAGTAAGAATAATAATCGGGTATAATATTTATGCTAAATATTATATTTAATACCATTTAGTATAATGGTAAATATACACGAGTTACAAGTTAAAAAAAAACTTTGTGCGTGACTACAAGGTTTTTCCTTTTAAACATTATCTTTCTAATTTTAACGTATCAGTTATATTTGGTTGTTTTATAAGTAATTGCATTGACAGCTTTCAAAAAATAATTCATAATCCATTAATCAATATTATTGTATCCTTTTGTGACAAGCTTGTCAAATTACTCCTATGATTTTTACTAATAAAAAGTAACCCGTTCCACGAGAGATGTATGATCCATGTAAACAATAATTGGAAATAAGACCGTTTAAAGTAATGATCCATATACATATATCCAGCAGTATTATAGAATATTTTCAGTAAGCCGTGTTGTAAATTAAAAACGTTAGATTATGCCATATATACATTTTTACTAAATATCCTTTGGTAGTGTATATTATATCTGTTGCGCCGCCAACGATACAGAAATGAATCCGAATCTGTGTCATTGGCGACACGGCATACCGTGATCGTAAGTTCGTGAGAACATTGAGAACGATAAAGATAATGACACTTGTACTGAAACATAAAAATATAACGTATATCCTTTCCCACAAATTTTTTCGTCATTTTTGCTACATATACGTAGACATATTTTTTCTTTTATAGGGTACGTTTCGTTTTCACGCTGACACGCCGTAAGCATTCCTTGTCTATCAAATGTTGAACAAGGACAAATGATGCTTACAAGCGTTATATAAACGCAAAAACGGAACGCATTATTTAATATTTATCTACATTCGCGAACTCACGAACAATAGGATATATCATCATACAATGGTAGTCAACGTCCAATAGAATAATTATACATATCTATTTAATAGATGTTTACCAAAATAACTCGATTTATCGAATAAATCCCTAATATAAGAATAGCACAACAGAATTGTACAGAAATGTAAAACATTCTGACAGTATTTCATCAGCGTATGATTGATTCGAGGAATGCATCTATGAAATATGTAATAAATGTATGTACAGTACAAATTATTTCCCTCATATTTGTGCTCCCTTTTATGTAAACAAAAGTTGGAATCTTTAAAGATGCTTGAATCTCAATTTCCTTTCTTTTTTCTTTTCCTTTGTTTAGTTTGTGAAAGTGATTAAAAGGTATCTTTTCTGGATTGAAATGTATTTAGAGGTAATGTTATTTGTAACGTCCAAACTTTTTCATTTATTAGATAATATTGTTATATGCGAATGGTGAAATTTACCAGAAAAAATCGTAAACTTGGACTAATAAAAAGATACGAATGTTATTTTTCGCATGAATTGTCGCACAAGTGTGTTGGAACGTTTGCAAGTAATTCCTCGAGAATGTCTTTCCAACTATCGTGGATGGTCGTTGTACAAGTATGTTGCAAAAAAAAATAAAACCATATTATACATGTAATTGAGCATTGTGTTAATTTTACGCCACACACAATCGTGTCATTTATCATAGATTGATATACCATACATTACCATACCTCGCTCATTCTCTATTCAGTAATTATAAGGATCATGAGCAGATAGATTTCACGCAAGTGGAAGAAATTACTGTTGAAACAAACGGTAACACGAAATAATGCACGATATCATGTATTTTAAATATTTATTCCTTTTTTTTTTCATTCAAAAGGACAATTTGTTTTTATTATATAAGATAACATTATCCTAAGCATCTTCGAGGGTTCGACACCCTACCGTACCTAAATTATTCTTTATATAACATCTTTTGTTTCCTCTCTTACGATTTTCCTACCGATTACATCGCAGGCAACTCCGCGGTTTCTCTTAAATTGGCTTTTCGTCCGTTATCGTTTTGTCGCAGCCAATCGAATCGTCACCATGCTCGGCTTTATTCATTTCCCTCGTTTACCTCTCGCATCTCGTTTATATACTGACTTTATACAAATTGGTTTTGAAATTTTTTATGGCATTTTACCGTCGGTGGTGAACTGAGGTGATAAGCATTCTCACATGTCAAGCATCATTGGATATAATCCATTTCGAGCCTCTTTACGAACATTCGCAATTACAAAATAAAATAATAAGCTCCATTATTCTTGAAATGGGGATATTTATTATTCCGTTGGTACCTTCCGTAGATACTTGAACTCGATCTTTTTCCGAAGAATGCAATGGACGCAATCACGCATACAAATCTCGTAAAACAAGTTGTTTCGCAAAAAAAAAAAAAAAACAACCATGTAATAGGGCTCGTATGTCTAGATACTAAGGCACCGACCAAGATCATTATGTTTATTAATTATATAATTTCATCTTGTAATTAATTATACATAACATCATTAAATAATTAATTATACAATTTCATCATGTAATTAATTATATAATTTCAGATTAGAATTGTCAATAAAAGTGCAACATTCGAAGAAAGATTGCAATCAACAATGTTCTACAAACTGAGAAAGGAGGGCGATGAACGACGTCCATCTGCGATATATATTATGTCATTATTACATGTTAGGTAATTGATATTTTCACAGTAAAATTCTCGATTCATATTGATATGTCGCGTATATAAATACACAACGTATAGTAAAGTTTCTTCCGGAATAGGTAAAGCCTGAGAGACTAGTCACCCGAGCCCTAACGAGAACACCGGAGAGAACAAAAAAAACTATCGTCAATAGTAATACGCGAAAAAAAAACTTGAGTTACACGTTAACTTGGAAGACACGAAGGAATCGAATCGTGTCATGTATAGACTACGATAATAATAATTCACAAATGTATGTATATTATATCACGATTTGATTGTCAATCGAATCGTTTCATGCTATGTTACGAAAACAAGATACCAATTAGCGACGTTCGCATAACAAGTAACAAATATGCATATGTACGTTTTCAATTTTCATACGCGTGTCTTAATCCCGAGACCAAGATATCAATGACTCGTCCCTTGCTGAGAAATATCCCGATGGAAGTATGCGTGCGTTTATCGTTATTATTATCGTTAGACTTAAATTACATTTATTTATTTATTTATTTATTATTCTTCGGTCGGCTAGGTCGTCTATACAAACGGCGAGGAGTTATTAACATTATGATATACGACGGAGTACGTTAATACCGATATCTCTTCGGATCTCCAACTATACTCATTTTTAGCGATGCGATCAATCCCTATATTTATTCTGTTTCTTTTCCAAAACCACGGCGGATATTTAGTACAAAAAAAATAACATAAAAACAAGCACATCGCGATTTTTATTCGTTTCACATTCAAGAATGTGATCCACTTGACAATGCAATGCAATTTGTTGACCAATTAGAAGAATTTTACGAATTAACGAATGATTTCTGAAACTTTTACAGCGTTAAATGGATCGCATTCTGAATATAATTTTTGAGATACTCTAAAAACATGATGGAAATTTATTAGAAGAGACCCAATACTAAAAACTAATTAACGTACAACGTCGCAGCAATTAATTGAGCTTGCACTCGTACAAGGGAATCTCGGTTCACTGATGTCTTTAGCAAAAAAACACTCGCACGCACGCACGCACGCACACATACACGCACATGCGGATGCACACGCATACTTTTTCTCTTTCTCCCTTCTATTATTCCTCTTTAAAGAGAATTATAGCAAAATTTTATACATTAACCACCGACGATAAATATCACACAACGAGATAAAGTTGTAACTCGTTACTCAACTCTCGCAGAATTTATTTGTTAGGGAGCCCCGCACACCTTAGCATACACGCGTCCAAAAGTCTAGCTACATCACAGGCGCCGTGTCTAGCTAATCGCTCTTCTACCTTACTAACTATGTCCAATATTAGCAATACTCTCCTTATTTATATCAAATGAACATTTTGTCGCGCGCGTTGTTCGTCGACAATCCGAAATTGATTGAGGGAGAAGTTAGAGTCGGAGATATCAGTGGCAAAAATATTAAAAAGGTATTAACAACGCAAAATTGCCGCATACGTACGTCACTTGCGCAGCACAACGGATGCGGGGCTCGGTTGAGTGTCGGGGAGGGGCCGCGAGGAAAAGTTTGGAGATATACCTGGTTCAACGCCTGGTCGTATATGTATGTATATTCGAAGCCAAAACCGTGATCGACCAAATTCTAGCACTAGGACGCGCAGCGGTACTATGGTGCCATTATACAAGCATCATCGCAAAGCATCGTCATTACGTGAGACTTGGTGTGCCTCAATATTCCATGACCGAAAAGAAAACTATAATAACGTCCTGAGCCACGTTCGAACAAATCGATTGTGTGCAGAAACACAGAAAGGAGAGAGAAAAAAACCGCCAGCATACCATATCCCTTTTTTTTTCTATTTAAAAAATTCGACTGAAATGAAACCGCATTAATCGTGGAAATGATTAGTTACATCATCGAAAGAACTCGAATGTAAATGTTGAAATAGGTATATGTCGGAAACGATTTTCGCGATAACCCCGAGACAACTATATCGTACGTAACAATTAGCCGGTGAATGATCAGTTTCATTGCGTAGGGTACTGATGTGGCATGGTATATGTTACCATAGTGGGCTGTTGGCCCGGAGGCAAGGGTGCACTCGCTGTCGGCGGTGCTGCGGTGGCTTGCGTCGGTTGCCAGGCTCCTGCGCCTGGAGTGGGCATTCTCATGCTGTTCATATACTGCGCCTGTTGCCCATAATATTGACCGTAATATTGTGCAGGCTGCAAAAATTGTCCCTGCATCTGCGGATAGCCCTGTGGATACCAATAACTCATCTGTTGGCCATAGCCATACGCGTATTGTCCTGCTCCCGCTGTCACCTGTTTGACGAAAACAATTTAAACTGTTATCCGTCTATAGTTTTTATGACATTCCATTATATATATATATATATATATATACATATATATATATACACACATATATATATATATTACACATATTATACATTATATATATATATATATATACACACACACACATGTAAATTTTTATACTATTATTGTACGAGTTAATATATAATGAGATAATTGGGCTATTCATTATATAGCTAATTTGGCGTTTGGATAAAGAAGAGTAAACTAAATAATTGTTGAGAATCAACTTGGAATTTTTGTTACTTATGTAATTTTGATTTATATTTGATTGATTTATAATTGATAAGGACCCGAATTGAAGGATTGAAACGTATATTTTATTCGTTTGTTACATTGACAGGAAAATAAAGAATTTTCTGTGTATCCGAACAGCTGATGCAGGCTCTGGACTTTTTTACATTTTTCACTGGTAGATTCTTTCGAGCCTCATTTTATATATTTGTATATACACATATGACAAATGATGTAAAAAATGTATAAAGTATTAGCCAATACAAGATGAAATAATAGACTGTGAGAGAGAAAGGGAGAGAGAGAGAGAGAATGTAAACAATAACCTGTTGAGCTTGATGATTCGCATTAGGACCCACACTGTTTGGATCACCATTTTCTTTTCCCCAAAAACATTTAACGATGCTGCCGTTGATTTCTGTATTATGCGTCGATTCAATGGCATGTGTCGCAGCTTCCTTAGTTGTAAACTTGATAAAGGCATATCCCTTGTCTTTGAATACTCTTATGTCTTGAATGGTACCAAAAGGAGAAAAGGTTTTCTTTATCAGCTCATCCGTGATACCATTCGTAAAACCTCCACAATATACGGTACAATTGGTCGGACTACTTTGGTTATATACCTGTTGAGAAGAAAATCCAAACTAAGATTAAAGAATTAAGATTGAATTTGGCTTTTCTCGCTTTTTCAATCATCGAGGATGATTGAAGAGAAGCAAAGGAGGAAAGGAGAAAAAGGAGAAAAAAGAAAAAAGGAACCGCTACCTCTTCGTAGTTGGGTTTACTATTGTTGGAATGCCGCGGCCTCTCAGACCTCGGTGGCGGCGGTTTCCTAGTGGACCAGTTGGTCCTGATGCTGCGCGACCCCAGCCACTGACCGTTCATCGCGTTGATCGCCGCTTCGGCCTCGGATTTTTTAACAAACGACACGAACGCGTAGCCCTTGCTCTTGAGCGTCTGCGGGTCGCGGACGATCCTGCAGTTGCTGATCTCGCCAAAGGGCGCGAACGCCTCCTTGAGAGTCTGCGTCTCGATCTCCGGCGAGAGATCGCCGACGAAGATGTGATGGTGGTTGCTGGTGTCGAGTTTCGGCTGATTGCCTGGACTGGTCGCCCAGTTAACCTTCATCTCCTTGTCGAGGAACGAGCGCTTGTTCATGGCGGCCAGCGCCGTGGCCGCGCACTGGTGGTTCGTAAATTCGACGAAGGCATACGGATCGTTGCCGGGCTCGCGGATTATCTTGCATCCCTTCACGGCGCCGATTTGCGAAAAGAGCGCACACAAAAGGTCCTCGGATACCGAGGTGTCTAGGTTGCCCACGTACAGCGTACGTGGATTACTTTCCTCGCTCATGTTCGCACGCGCTCAGCGCTGCTTGGCGCTGATACGGACGCACTTTCACTTTTCGCTCTCTCGTTCTCTCGTTCTCTCGTCCGTCCGTCCGTCCGTCCGTCAGTTTGTTTCGATCGTTCGATCGTTCGTTCGTTCGTTCGTTCGTTCGTTCGTTTGTACGTATGTACGTACACTTTCCCCTCTCGCCGAAAAAACTATTCGCTCTTACCCTCGACGGACTCCACGCGCGTTACAACACGCGTTACACGCGTCACACAGCTAAACGGCACGATGACTATCCACGGGAAAGCGATCGCTGCGGCGACAGTGGCAACTTGACGTCACTCGCAGCTGAGCGTTCGCGATGATCAAACATTCGGACACTTACCAGGCACCGAACCGTTAGTTTTTTCCTCGCGCACAACCGAGAATAAGAACACTCGCGCTAAGCTACACCCAGCCTCTACGTCATACTAATACATAAAATGGCCGCCCCGCGCCTCACCGCGCCACGCCGCTTCGAAACCAGCTTTCCCTTTGACTCGCGCCGCATCCGCGCCGCACCACGTCGGGCCGCGAGTGCAATGCACAATACTAATGCACTATACTAATTGTAAAAGTGCGCGACAAACGCACTCGCTTTTCCGCGAATTTTTTCACAAATACCGGCACCGCGATCGAACTCGCTCGCGTGTATCGCGTTCGCGTTCGCGTGCGCGCGCGCTCGCGCTCGCGCTCGCGATCAACCCGATGTGTGATTCTTGGCGAATAAAAATCGGAACTACCGACTGTACTGACTATACTGTCTATACCGACAGTATAGACGCTTAAAATTCGCCCAAGAGGAGACACGTGTTTTCGTATCACCCGTCGAGCTGTTGTAATTGTAACAGGTCTCGTAATCGTACATACATTACGTGAAAACTTACGCGACCATGCCATTGGCCTTGCGAAACTCACTAGATATATCTGGTATTCCAATTTCCAATCTAACTTCTTCGACAACGGAAATTGTCACAACGGAAATCTTCTCGCTGTGGAAATGATGCTTTATGAAGGTTTTAGGCTAATTCTACAATGTGCTTTTTATTTTCTGTTTCTTGCTGTTTGTCTCTTGTCTTATTGACCAAAAAGGCAAGAGACAAACAGAGACAAACGGCAAGAAACAGGAAACAAAGAGCACATTGTAGAATTAGCCTTAAAGTGGGTCACGGAACTAAGATTCTTGCATAATACATAATTACGCTTAGTGCATAAGCGAATCAACTAATCAGAATTTTTTCTTTCCTCCCATTCCGCAGAAAAGAACAATTTCGATTGGTTGATTTCCTCTAGGTATTATGCGTTATGCAAGAGTCTGTGCTCCCCGCCTTAATGGCCATTCTACAATACAATAAACTAGAGAGCCTATAATCAGAGTGACGCCATACGGATATCATTTGTGATTGGTCCGCCATGTTTTAGCCATTCCCTCCAGTTTTTTTAAACGTATTATTTTTTAAATTTTGAATTCATGTTAAAAAATGCTCAAAAATTGTGACAAATTAAAACATGATAATAAATAAATATTATATATAAAATAATAAAACTTTTACATACATTATTTGTTATAAAATTTCATTTATTTTGTACTGTTGCAATATTGTAC